AAACAACCCAATTTAAAAATTAGCACAGGATTTGGATACATGTTTCTCCAAAGAAGATACACAAATGAGCACATGAAAAGATGCTGAACATCAGTAATCACTTGGGAAATGAAAATCGAAACTACAATGAGATACCACCTCACAACCATTAGGAAAGCTATTAAAAAAACCAAAAATAATGACTTAGGATATGAGATATTGGAACCCTTGTGCACTGGTAGTGGATATGTAAAATGGTACAACTGCTGTGGAAAAACTGCATGACAGTTACTCAAAAAATTAAAATCATATAACCTAGCAATTCCACTTCTGGGTATATACTCAAAAGAACTGAAATCAGGGTTTCAAAAAGATACCTGTACACCCATGTCCATAGTAACATTATTTACAGTAACTGAAATGTGGAAGCAATCCACTGACAGATGAATGCATAAGCAAAATATGGTATATACACACAATGGAATAGTATTATGTCTTCCAAAGAAATTCTGACATATGCTGCAATGTGTATGAACTTTGAGGACATTATGCTAAGTGAAGTAAGCCAGTCACAAAAAGACAAATACTGTATGATTTCACTTACATGAGGCAATTAGGGCAGTCAAATACAGAGACAAGAAAGTAGAATGGTAGTTGCCAGGGGCTGGAGGGAAGAATGGGGTGTTACTGTTTAATGGGTATAGAGTTCCAATTTCACAAGATGAAAAGTTGTGAACATTATAAATCTAATACCACTTAAATGTACACTTAAAAAGTGGTAAAGCTGGCAAATTTTGTGTTGAATGTATTTTACCACAACTTAAAAGACTGGGGGGAGAAAAGGAGGGGGGCTACTAGCTATGTAAGAAATTTATTAGCAGCAACACCTATAGGAAAAGGGGCCATCCATATGGTGCAGGTTGAAGTAGAAAGGGAGGAAAGAATGAATGGGTGGTTGGTTGGAAACAAGACCAAAGTCCAATTCTAAGAAGTTTGGCCAAGGCCTTTGAAGAGTCCTTAAACTAGTTGTCTGCCTGGAGTGGAACATATCCCAGAAATGGGCCTGCCTTAGTATCTCTGCTATTGGCTGGGAGCGACTTGTAAGTGTGGCCTTGCTGCAGACGCAGTAATGAATTTCAGACCTCAGCAGCTGGAATGCCAGTCAGTTATGTTCCCTATAGTCAAGAGATCTAAGAGGCTCACTTTCATGGCCACCACACCTGGGCATATTAACTTTTCTCAAAGTTCCCTTCATATAAAAGGTATATGACAGCATTAGGCACATACTCAGTAAATGTAAGCTATTATTATAGTTCTAAAATAAAACTATTCTGTATATTTTTTAATTTACGAAAAAACAAGTGACTTGCTATCAATGAGACTTAAGGGATGAAAAAATAATGTACTTCTAAGGCACCCGCAAATTATCTAGCTAAGAGACCTGAAGTTACCTGTCATAGAAACCTCAGTGACAGTCTAACCTGAGAATCTAAGACCCAAAGACAGAAACCCAGCATTCTAGAATTTGGATGTCCTGCCTGCCTTACAACAACCTGCCAAGTCACACAAACTGTGGTTCTTACTCTAAAGGAATTTCATGTTTTTTTTTATGTGTGTGGGCAGGGGTAGGGGGATAACCTTAATCAGAGAAATAAATGTTAGCATCTGATAATGTATTTGTTTCCTTTCCTCAACTCAGGCAGCAAGTGACTCACATGAGCTGAGTGAAGAGGCTTATTGTCTACCTAGTGATGTGAATTACTGTCACACTCTCCACCTCAACGGTCAGGATACCATCTTCATAAGGGGAACTGGGATCATGGCCAGTTTATCCATTGGGGTACAAATCAGGTGTCAGGACTTTCAGCAATTTCTCCTCTTCCGTTTTCCCCATCACTCTTTCTTATGTTAGGCCCTCATTCCTAGCTAACTGATGATCAATTCTTGGTACCGTGTTTAAGAGAATTGGAGCCACTCCAACACCCCCACCATACCTCAATTTCTGAGAATTTACCAGGCCTTCTGAAAGCATGGCTTTAACCTTAAGGTGGCATTTTTATCAGATGGCAGGGTCTATAGGTATGAGACAGACCTCAGCTTTGGAGTATGAAGGGACAGTATGACCATTTACATGGGGTCAGATACCAGAACAAGTGGCCCACCAAGCCCGCACTTTCATTAACAAAGTCTATCCAACTGTTGGCAACTCACACAGAGCTTTGCTTGGGAACAGAACCTCCAGGTCTTTTTACCCAAGCATTTAAGTGAAGTTCTTAACTTCATTTGTTTTCCTTTCAATGGGCAACATTTCCTTTAACCAAGCCCACACATTGTGTTGGCTTATTCAGCCAGCCCTGCACCTTGCTTTCTAGGACAGGACAGGGCAGCTCCACTACCTTCTTTCCCTCTTCAGCTGACCTGTGATAAGCACTGACCTGGGCGGTTCTAGTCCATGTGTAATGGGCTCTTCTACCGAACAATGGTGCTCCCTGCCTCAGCACCCAGAAATCTGAGACAAGTGAGGGCACTTGGAAGTGTGATGCATCACAATAATATGCATGACTCACTGCTTTATTTTCATTCTAAATGTATTAGGAAGTTCTGGGGAATCAGTGTACGCTCTTCTGGAGAGAGATATTAAGAGTGGAAACAAGCTTTCACCCAGGTTTCCCAACTCTCGCATAGCTGTTAATAATGGCAAGTATAAAATATAAAAAGAACATGTAACATTGAAGTGCCACCTAAATCTCTTTTTTAATAGGATTTTTAACCTGTTTCTTCCCCTGTAAATTGGAGTCACAATACTTATTCCATAGCATTGTTTAAAAAGTAATGTGTAGATACCCCAGCAGTTAACCTTGCTGTAATTTAGTTCCTGTTTAAGCTTAATCTATAGCTGAAACTAATCTAAGAGAGAATAGGTGCTGTGTCTTGGAATCTGGTGCAAGACATGAGCAATGTCACAAGGACTGCAAACAGTTCTCGCGATCCTTTCTGAGGCAAACCCAGATAAGGAACACACCGTGAGACTCAGGTGGCCAGATGACTTGGTGAAACATAAGAGAAACTTTAAAAGGTGATTAGTTTGCAATTGTTTAGCTTGAAAAAAAACTCATCATATAATCATTAATTGATGCCTGTCTTTTTACTTGCTGTAACTTAATAAAAGTGCAGGGGAGCGCTGACTTGTTGCTTAGTCTCCAAGGAAGTCTAAGCCCTCTGCAGTAAACATCATTCTGACTTGGTTCCTCATTTTCGTGGTCCCCGACTGCAACAGTTAATATATTAGGAAGGGGCTTTGTGAACTGTAAAGGGATAAACAAACATGAGATTTTTACCAACAAACAGAAATTGACTGATTATAAAGGACAAGGACACACAAATGTCTCTTTTCAGAATCTCACTTATAGCCAATCAGTGAGATGGGAAACAAAAAGAAGAGTACCAAAGAAAACTAATGTGTTGGGTTTCTTAGTAATTTGGGGCTTGCTTCTACCCCTTTGTCACCTTTGTTGGAAATTGGATTCAGTCCTCCTGAAATCTAGTAAACTCCATTTGCTGTTCATATGGAATACATTTTCAGCCTTTCCAGTCTAATCCCAAACACCACGACTTCAGGAAATAGAAATTCCTGAACTAAATAAAACAAAGAAACTAAGGCAAGTGGCCAGAATTGTGATGAACAGGAGGAACAAAGGAGCCCACACTTGCCCAATGCGGCTGCTACTGTCAGAAGGGCAGCCAAAGACTAAAAGAAGCAAAAGGTAAGTCCTCCCCTCCTCCCATATTCTGGTCTTCCAGGTTCAAAGAAACTAACAGGAAGCTAGCACAATGCACATGAAGGGAGTTCAGGAAATATAGTTTGCAGGACTCAGACTCTTAGATCTGAGAGTAAACAGACAAATAACCAGTGTGGGAAAGTTCTTATGAGGCAAACACACAGCTTCCCATTAATAACAGCAAAATAGAATTGCCAGCTAGGGCCTCAACCACATCATCTATTTAAATAAGATGCTATCTTAAATAAGAACCAGGGAGCATTCTTGTGCAATGCAGACTCTGTTCTGCATGGTGGAGAAATATCCCTCTCCCAACCAGCAGATGTGCTTCTGCTTCTGGCAGTCAGAGACAAACGACACCAGGAGTCCATACACAAGGCAAATGCTTTATTTTAAAATGAACAGCAAAACATAAGACAAAAATATTAAAATACAGAACAGAGATCCCACTGTCCTGTTTTCAAAACAGGTACAAGGATACATATAACAAAATGCTTTAGGTCTGCTTAATTCCACACTCTCAAATGGGAAAATGACCTTAGTCACAGGGGTAAGTGAGCATGGTGCTACAGAGCCGGTGTCAAACAGGAGACCAGAGTCTTAGGTTCACAGATGCACACTTCTGCCAGGCTGAGGCAGATGATGTGGGGGCAGTTGGGGGAGAAGCCTTTTCCTTTGGAAAAATCAGTCGTCATCACATGAGTTTGCCCCTAAAACATCCAAATTTACTGGAGGAATGTAAGGACTGGTGAGACCTGAGATTCACTCAACTTCCCTGGTTGTCCTTTGGTTCCTACTCTTGAGGGAATCAATCAGCATCAGCTGAGTGTACTTCAGCACTCTACAGATCCTAACCTGCTGTGGGCTTTGCCCCCACCAAAGGCAAAGGGGGCCAGGGCCTGACTGCCTGCATCCTCTGACAATCTGCTGAAACCAGATGTATTCTGCTTTTTAATTCAAATCCGTTTCAGCCACTGAAGTTGTAAGCCTCGGCAGTCATTCTTATTCATCAACATATAGAAAGAATATTTCCTCTGAGAAAAGGGGGCTCTTTCCCAGGCCCAGGCAACTGGCTTTTTGAAAGATGCCTTTAAACAGAAGGCTACTCTTTAAAAGGCACAACTAGAACTTGTACGAAGTTCTGGGGAAATCTACTGCAATGACCTCTTGCTGGAGAGAATGACTGAAAACAGCACAGGAGTTGACAGGTCAGAACTGTTTTAAAATAAAAATGTACAGCAAAACATAAGACAAAAATATTAAAATACAGAACAGAGATCCCACTGTCCTGTTTTCAAAACAGGTACAAGGATACATATAACAAAATGCTTTAGGTCTGCTTAATTCCACACTCTCAAATGGGAAAATGACCTTAGTCACAGGGGTAAGTGAGCATGGTGCTACAGAGCCGGTGTCAAACAGGAGACCAGAGTCTTAGGTTCACAGATGCACACTTCTGCCAGGCTGAGGCAGATGATGTGGGGGCAGTTGGGGGAGAAGCCTTTTCCTTTGGAAAAATCAGTCGTCATCACATGAGTTTGCCCCTAAAACATCCAAATTTACTGGAGGAATGTAAGGACTGGTGAGACCTGAGATTCACTCAACTTCCCTGGTTGTCCTTTGGTTCCTACTCTTGAGGGAATCAATCAGCATCAGCTGAGTGTACTTCAGCACTCTACAGATCCTAACCTGCTGTGGGCTTTGCCCCCACCAAAGGCAAAGGGGGCCAGGGCCTGACTGCCTGCATCCTCTGACAATCTGCTGAAACCAGATGTATTCTGCTTTTTAATTCAAATCCGTTTCAGCCACTGAAGTTGTAAGCCTCGGCAGTCATTCTTATTCATCAACATATAGAAAGAATATTTCCTCTGAGAAAAGGGGGCTCTTTCCCAGGCCCAGGCAACTGGCTTTTTGAAAGATGCCTTTAAACAGAAGGCTACTCTTTAAAAGGCACAACTAGAACTTGTACGAAGTTCTGGGGAAATCTACTGCAATGACCTCTTGCTGGAGAGAATGACTGAAAACAGCACAGGAGTTGACAGGTCAGAACTGTTTTAAAATAAAAATGATAACATTTCTACAAAGTTATTTAAGAAAAATCACATTGTTAACTACTCTGTTACCAAGAACAGGGCACTCACTGCCTACACCTTGAGGCATGTTCTGTAGTGGACAGTTGTTTAGGGAATAGCTTTAGGCAAAGCAAACAGATATAAACTAAATCCTCTATTAGAGAAAAGTACAGCTCCCAATGTTGGACAATCCAGGGTTGGAATGAAAGCTGGTGGGCATTTCCCTGAAATCCATATAGGTCTCCAACCACTACTATCTTCCTGAGAATAACTGTCTTAATAACAACACTTTTAGAAAGGGAGGCAAATCAGGTGAAATTGGAATCAAACATCAATTACACACAGGGAACATTTTACCTGGGAATTTCAACACACCCAAGACCCCTCACACTGATGGGTTGGCTTTACTTAGATGTGAACTCTTTCAAAATGGAAGAGACAAGCCCTTCTTCTGTTTCCAGCAGCACTCCAAGCAGCTTCTCTTTTGTAAGCCTCTTGGTTAGTCTGCTCCTGATTTCTGATGCTAGCTTGAAGAGACTCAAGTAACAGCTTTGATATATTGCTCACCTTTTCCTAGTGAGAGGGAAAAGGAGTAGTCCTCAAAGCACTGACTTATATAAAACCATCCTGAGATCCTAAGCTGAATAGAAAAAAATATCTTCGAACAACTGTTTTCTTTCCTTGGCTCCCACAATGTGATGAACTTATGTACGCGGTATTAGGAAAAGGTCTATAGCTTGTCAGTCACCTCCATCACTGGGCTTGCTAGGAGGTGCTCTACTTGGAACACCTAGAACAATACCTGTTGCTGCCACAGAGCAAACCAGGTGTGCTCACCACACACGTCATCTGTGGGGATGAGACCAACTAACCAAAAGGTTGTTAGCCCACAAGGTCAGAAATAGATCAAACTCTTCTCCAGGTTCTACAGTGCCCTCTTGTGTTGAAATGAAGACTTCTGCCTCCATGCTGCATCCAGGCAGTACTAAGATGGTTAGTCCCTTCTGGGACTTAAATATTCCCAAGTCAGATAGCTCAAGTGACAAGATTACGCTTGGTGTACATTCATATCCTAAATGACTCCTGGAAGAACACTCAGTTCCAGCAGAAAGTCTGATGAAAATTACAGCTTCTCAAGAAAGCTTTTAACCCAATAAATGGATAATGTAGATAGAATACCAGTTACTTACTCTGTTGATGGACACAGCACATACACAGTCTGTAATGTTTTAGTGACCTGCAGTCCTAGAATCGGACTAACCCAAAGTAACCATGATCCCAAAGTTCTATGCACAGACAACAGCAGAGATCTTGTTCAGGGCTGCTAGGTGCTAGCAAACAACACTTGACATTAACCAGCAGCACCTGATAAAAATGTCAAGACCACATTCATTCCCACTTATAGATATGGACCATCTTCTCTGTTAAGGTAGCCAGGTAGTTGTTATGGTTCACCTCAAAAGGGCAGATGTCCAAGACAGGCTGATGAGCCTGAAGATCCTGCAGCAATGAGCCACTGCCAGCATCCCACAGCTAAAGAAGACAAGGAGAGGTAAAGGTCAGGAGTCATTCAATTCGGCTAGAGGACTTGCTTTCTTTACCATCAAACAACTCTGAAAAGAGCTTCAGAGAGAGTACTGCCTGGGGAGGAAAACAGACTGTCTCTAATCTTCACAAAGTTGCACAGAAAGCTGGCATTTCTGATACCATTTGGGTATGGCCTCACCTACTGCAATCAGCAATGAGTCTATCTGTGAGTGTATCTGAAAACAAGCTTAGCATTCATCCCTTCAATCATTGTGCCTGGCACTCACCTAGGGACAGAAGGGTCAACAAGACAAGAAATCCCTGTTCTTGCCCTCATGGAACCTATCTTCTAACGGGTGTTTTCTTTTCCTTTTAAAAAACCTTTTATCATGAAAAAAAATTTTTTAAGTAATAAAAAGTAGTAAAGTACAATAAGCTACCCACATCACCCTGATTATTAAACTTTTACATGTTTTATTGATTCTACTTCTTTTCCAACTGCATGTCATTTTACCCATATATGCTTAATTATGCATCTCTAAAAAAAGACATTTTTTTATACTTCAATGTCATCATGTCCAATAAAATGAATAATATCATAGTATTCTTTAACACCTAATGCATATTCAAGATTTTCTGATGGTCTCTTTTTACATTTGGCTTGTTTGAATCAGGATTCAAGTAAGGCCTACATTACATCTGGTAAATTTTAGTAAGTCTCTTTTCATCTACAGCACATCCAAACTCCCACTTTCTTTTTTCTGTCATTGACTTGCTGTAGCTCTGTCAGTCGTCCTACATAACATCCACAACCTAGATTTGTCTGTCTGCTTTCTGTGCTATTTAACTTCTTCCTCTATCCACTGCAGTGCCAGTAAATGACAGTTAGCATTAGACTCCATAGTGGTGTTATCTAATTGATGGCCACTAGCCATACAGCCTATTTATATTTAAATTAAAATCTAAAAATAAACTTCTTCATTCACACCAACCATATTTCAAATGCTTGTGTGGCCAGTGAATGCTCTAATGCTTGATGAGATTCAAGTTCAAGTACATTCTCAGAAGGTGCTGTGTGCTTCAGTACCTTACATCAAGAGGCAAATTATTTTTTGTCAACCCATTGACGTTAACAGTGATCAATGTGCTCAGATGTGATATGATGACCACTCTACTGTAAAACTCCCCATCAATCTTTCACCTGTTAGTTTCATCCTGAACTGATGAAGCTGATGCCTGAATGAATTATTTTATAAGGGTTTCATCAGTACTGCTTTTTTTTTCTTAAGGTTTACAACATGGTTCATGGTACACTATAGCTCAAGTAAAAAGAATGAGGTGAATTTACAGATACTGAAATGGAAAGATATCCAAGATAGGAAGTTAAATGGGAAAAGGGCAAATAACAGTAGGCAAAGTGTGACTCGTGTAAAAAAATAAACCACCATACATATACAGGCATATAATATGCAATAATGAAAAACTTTGGCTTTTGTTTCATATACTTGTGTATAAAAAATAATCTCACCAGGGCAGAATTTGATGCTTCATCCCCGGTACACACTAGGATTCTGCCATCATTATCTGGGTTTTGGAAAATGGCACTTTTGGTCAGCAGTTTGCAAGTGGGTCCCCCAAGAAATGTCTGTACAGGATGGCAGGAGCAGGCTGGCTCTCCAGTGTCATTCAGCTTGTAGGACATCTCCATCAACACACTTCGTAAGGTGCTGTGATTTTTATCTACGGGATACAGAAACCACCCATGGGGGTGGTCCAAAGAAATTAACCAAGTACCTGAACTTCAGATGCTTACCACTGAGTGGAAAAGCCACAATTTTTTTTCTTTTCTTTTGGTATCATTAATATACGATTACATGAGCAACATTGTGGTTACTAGATTCTCCCCATTATCAAGTCCCTGCCACATACCCCATTACAGTCACTGTCCATCACAGTAGTAACAGAAAAGCCACAATTTTTAAGCCATCAAGAACACTACAAAGCAAAGGAGTACCAACAACAAACTAACAGCACAGGTGAAATCCAGACCCTAAAACAATCCTGAGAATAAAATCCATGTATCCTGCTGCCAGACCTCTGTGTGGGTTGATATCTTCCTTAAGAATTCTGACTACTCGTCCTACATAACATCCACAACCTAGATTTGTCTGTCTGCTTTCTGTGCTATTTAACTTCTTCCTCTATCCACTGCAGTGCCAGTAAATGACAGTTAGCATTAGACTCCATAGTGGTGTTATCTAATTGATGGCCACTAGCCATACAGCCTATTTATATTTAAATTAAAATCTAAAAATAAACTTCTTCATTCACACCAACCATATTTCAAATGCTTGTGTGGCCAGTGAATGCTCTAATGCTTGATGAGATTCAAGTTCAAGTACATTCTCAGAAGGTGCTGTGTGCTTCAGTACCTTACATCAAGAGGCAAATTATTTTTTGTCAACCCATTGACGTTAACAGTGATCAATGTGCTCAGATGTGATATGATGACCACTCTACTGTAAAACTCCCCATCAATCTTTCACCTGTTAGTTTCATCCTGAACTGATGAAGCTGATGCCTGAATGAATTATTTTATAAGGGTTTCATCAGTACTGCTTTTTTTTTCTTAAGGTTTACAACATGGTTCATGGTACACTATAGCTCAAGTAAAAAGAATGAGGTGAATTTACAGATACTGAAATGGAAAGATATCCAAGATAGGAAGTTAAATGGGAAAAGGGCAAATAACAGTAGGCAAAGTGTGACTCGTGTAAAAAAATAAACCACCATACATATACAGGCATATAATATGCAATAATGAAAAACTTTGGCTTTTGTTTCATATACTTGTGTATAAAAAATAATCTCACCAGGGCAGAATTTGATGCTTCATCCCCGGTACACACTAGGATTCTGCCATCATTATCTGGGTTTTGGAAAATGGCACTTTTGGTCAGCAGTTTGCAAGTGGGTCCCCCAAGAAATGTCTGTACAGGATGGCAGGAGCAGGCTGGCTCTCCAGTGTCATTCAGCTTGTAGGACATCTCCATCAACACACTTCGTAAGGTGCTGTGATTTTTATCTACGGGATACAGAAACCACCCATGGGGGTGGTCCAAAGAAATTAACCAAGTACCTGAACTTCAGATGCTTACCACTGAGTGGAAAAGCCACAATTTTTTTTCTTTTCTTTTGGTATCATTAATATACGATTACATGAGCAACATTGTGGTTACTAGATTCTCCCCATTATCAAGTCCCTGCCACATACCCCATTACAGTCACTGTCCATCACAGTAGTAACAGAAAAGCCACAATTTTTAAGCCATCAAGAACACTACAAAGCAAAGGAGTACCAACAACAAACTAACAGCACAGGTGAAATCCAGACCCTAAAACAATCCTGAGAATAAAATCCATGTATCCTGCTGCCAGACCTCTGTGTGGGTTGATATCTTCCTTAAGAATTCTGACTACATGTTTCTTTTCTTCTCCCCAGTGAGGGCCCCATTAATCCCTGGAAATGTACACTTTCATAAGTGAAAGCAGAAGGGGAAACATGTCCCGGTGATTCTGCTGGGAGGTAAACAAAAGCTACGGAACAAAATGGGACCTGTAAGCTTTCTACAAGTTACAGCCTTAGAGGTGGAGGACCTATGAGAAGGCTAAGAACCAAAAAGGTAAAAAAAATCTGCTGAGGCAGCTTCTCACCTCAAACAAATCTTAAACCTAGCAGAAGTATGGGCACTCAGAGGACTCTGATGAAACACCTGCCTAGGTTCATACTTTTCATGTTAGAAAGGACCTGTGAACTTAAGCACAGTTGGCTGTCCCGGTTCACTCCCGGTTCTGGAAGCAATTGAATTCAGCTTCGTAGGCCCACACAACCTGGTTGTTCATCTACTCTCTACTTACCTTTGTTGGTCCCACATGAGGAGAGACCCTGTTCTGGGCCCTTCATCTAAGCCTTTCTCTTAAGTGAAGTAAGGAGCAGGTAGAAGACATGAAACTCATTCAAGGGTAGCTCATGGCCTCAACAGAAGGTCTTCTCATTCCATCACTGCTTTCAGTCATGGGGGCTCCTGAAGTGGCTTATTCATTTCAGGGAGTACCCGGCAAAATCTGTCCCAATTCACACAAGTGAGGAGCAGAGGCAGGCTCTATGGAGGAACAGGGGCCACCACCCACTGGAGTAGCAAGAGCTATCAGACTGTGAGGAGCTTAGTAGTGCCACCTGAATGAATGGTAGGACAAGTTCTCCTTTCCTCTCCCTCTACCAATATGCTCCCCGTAAGAAACACAGGAGAGCTTGCAAGGACATCCCAACACCTACCAGGCCTATAGGTCACAAGACAATGCCGGGTGCTGCTCTCGGTCTGAAAGTCTATGCAGCCCCCTGGCTCCACAGGCAGCACATGAGGCCAATGAGAAAAGCCCATTTTCAGCTCCCAGAAGGAAGCATTCTCCAAGGTTCCAGCCAATACTCCACCATATGGAAACACAGCAGAGGCAGCTCTGGGTATGTACGACAAGGATACCAGTGGGCATCTGAAGGGAATCAAAGGAAACATGTCTTACACTCCAGTGCTTGGACTGCTCCATGAGCCCTTAAACACATTCCTACCCCTCTACAGAAAAAGCTAAAAACCTTCTGTGGGTTCCTATCCTCTGACATCTGGTAACAACTATCAACTTACTATGTAGAAACAAAAGCATGCATATCATCTCCTGCATCCAATTTCAAAAGAGACACCCCATGTTCTAAAAGCAATAAAAAAACTGACTATGAAATGTAACAGTACAAGATCACAATCACAAGGAAGCTTAGCTGGTGTGAAGCTTCTGGAAATGGGGTTAGCCATGTACAGAAGAAAAGTCAGGAAGGAAAACACAGCTTACACAACTAATAAAAAAGTGCTTCCAAAGTGTAGTTGACAGATCCTTCACAGTGTAAAGCAATTACATTTTAAAAAAATTTTGGTATCATTAATCTACAATTACATGCAGAACATTAGGTTCCCCCCTTCACCAAGTCCCCCCCACAAACCCCATTACAGTCACTGTCCATCAGCATAGTAAGATGCTGTAGAATCACTACTTGTCTTCTCTGTGTTGCACAGCCCTCCCCGTGCCTCCCCCACTTATACATACAAATCGTAATGCCTCCTCCCCATCCCTCCCTTCCCACCCACCATCCACAGTCCCTTTCCCCAGGGTAACTGTTAGTCCATTCTTGGGTTCCGTGATTCTGCTGCTGTTTTATTCCTTCATGTTTTAATTTGTTCTTATACTCCACATATGAGTGAAATCATTTGGTACTTGTCTTTCTCTGCCTGGCTTATTTCACTGAGCATATTACCCTCTTAGCTCCATTCATATTGCTGCAAATGGTAGGATTTGTTTTCTTCTTGTGGCTGAATAATATTCCATTGTGTATATGTACATCTTCTTTATCCATTGATCTTCTGATGAACACTTAGGCTGCTTCCATTTCTTGGCTACTGTAAATAGTGCTGCAATAAACATAGGGATGCATATGTCTTTTTCAAACTGGGCTCCTACATTCTTAGGGTAAATTCCTAGGAGTGGAGTTCCTGGGTCAAATGGTATTTCTATTTTGAGTTTTTTGAGGAACCTCCATACTGCTTTCCACAATGGCTGAACTAATTTACATTCCCACCAGAAGGGTGGGAGGGTTCCCCTTTCTCCACAACCTCGCCAACATTTGTTGTTGTTTGTCTTCTGGATGGTGGCGATCCTTACTGGTGTGAGGTGATATCTCATTGTGGTTTTAATTTGCATTTCTCTGATGACTAGTGATGTGGAGCATTTTTTCATGTCTGTTGGCCATCTGAATTTCTTCTTTGGAGAACTGTCTGTTCAGCTCCTCTGCCCATTTATTAATTGGATTATTTGCTTTTTGTTTGTTGAGGTGCATGAGCTCTTTATATATTTTGGATGTGAAGCCTTTATCAGATCGGTCATTTATGAATATATTCTCCCATACTGTAGGATGCCTTTTTGTTCTATTGATGGTGTCTTTTGCTGTACAGAAGCTTTTCAGCTTGATATAGTCCCACTTGTTCATTTTTGCTTTTGTTTCCCTTGCCTGGGGAGTTATGTTCGTGAAGAAGTCGCTCATGTTTATGTCCAAGAGATTTTTG